GTGTGTGTGTGTGTGTGTGAGTGTGTATACTAGCAGCATGGCCCGGCGTTGCCCGTGCTTGATTCAAAAATCGTTCGACTCATATAGCACTTGACTTTTCACTTGACTTAAAATATTTTTGCCCTTCCTTGCCTTTAAAGGAGTGCCCTTTGCCGTGCTGATCTCACACTGCGAATTTTTTCTAAACTCTATACTAAACATTAAATCTGTTACGAAAAAAGAACTAAACAAAATGAACACAAAACGATCAGCTTTAAAAAAGGACTCGTAACTGGAAAAACCGAATGAAAAAAAGAATGTTAACAAATACTTTTTACACCCAACCCAATTCTGCGGAACCAGAATCAACGTTGAGTTTAAGCAAGCGAATGAGTCAATTGGAGTAAAGTGTCATGCAGATTTTAATTTATCCCACTTGTGACGAATTCAGCTATCGATTATTTTTGCATGCTAGCATGCTAGTTAACATTCGTGTCAGTCAGCTTTTGGCTCTCACGCTGGCCAATAGATTATGCCTGCCTATTCGGCTTTCACTCTGGCCAGTAGAAAATGGCCGCAAACTACATGAAAACTGCCGTAGAAGCATGAGAATATCGCTTATTTCTACTATCGATGGTTGTTGAGAAATGCAAAGTCGGTCTTAATAATTTGTAAAACTTGGGATGACCCATGCCTTTTATGCCTACATGAAAAACTGCACATTATTAAGTTTCTAAATAATAAAAATCTATTAAACAATAGACATGAGTTAACGGTTTTTTGCCGACATCATCAAATTTTTGCATTGAATAATTAGCATAAAAACAAACAAAAAATAAAATAATTTTTAAAATCCATAGTCCTAATAAATAGTTTAAATGCCCTACAAAAAAAGGTAACCCTTTATGAAGTTGTCAAAAAACAAATGTTACGGCAGTTTTTATATACACAAAACCCTTACAGAAAAAAATAAAATATAAAATAAATAAATCTCCATAGACAAGTAAACAGGACTACGCGAAATCATCTTCCGTTTTAAATTTAGACACCCCAACCTTACCCTGACTTGACATCTGTGAATGTAACTGATACTGATATAAATTATTAACACCTTACACCCCTTTTCATTTAAACAATTGCTCTAGCCATTACCATAGAAATTTTGATTTCAATAATGAGTATGCTATTAAAACCTGTAAATATCAGAAATAAGCTATTCAGAAATGAATTCGCTTGAAGATGGAACGGAGCTTATTTTAATTCAATTTAATTCAAATAATTATATTGAAGTTTTCGTCTCTTGTTTTGAAACATGAGAACTCTTATGTATCGTGTTGGAATCATATTTTTAAATAAATAATTATATTTATGCCCTACTTTTGTATCGAGCGCCATTTTTTAGAAATAATAACAAAAATACTAAAGAACTTTGGATTATTTACTTAACGAGTTCTTTCCTATTTTTTATATATTTTTCACACACACACACACACACACATATATTTATTAAAGACATTTTTATGTTTAACGTTGTTATTTTATAGATACAAGTATTTAAGCAAATGCTCTGTTTATGATAAACAGTATTAAATAACATTTACCGGCCTGAATGTCCGAGAAATTTTCATAGAAAATATTCGTTCTTTGACAGGATTCGAACCTGCATCCTATACGGAACCGTCATATACGCTGACGTGCCTTACCTCTAGGCTACAAAAGAACCAATCGGTAGACAAGGTCAATTTACTGCTTATAAACTCCAATCTTCCATGAATCTCGTACATTCATAACTGCTCTGGCGTATCGAATGTAAACAAATGACGTCATATGTTAAGAAATTTGTCTACCGATTGGTTCTTTGTAGCCTAGCGGTAAGGCACGTCAGCGTATATGACGGTTCCGTATAGGATGCAGGTTCGAATCCTGTCAAAGAACGAATATTTTCTATGAAAATTTCTCGGACATTCAGGCCGGTAAATGTTATTTAATACTGTTTATCATAAACAGAGCATTTGCTTAAATACTTGTATCTATAAAATAACAACGTTAAACATAAAAATGTCTTTAATAAATAAATTGTCGGACCTTGTCCATTTCTTAACACACACATATATATATATATATAAACATACGGACACCACTGGTCTAAAGCAAAAGATCGCTGATGCTATTGACACCACTGATGAGGCTATGTTACAGCGAACATGGCAAGAAATACCGTCTTGATGTGCTTCGTGCAACTAATTCGCTATAGACCAAGTAAAAAGGAAGTCAGTTTCCCGAGACGAGACTCTGCTCTTCGAACATAACCTCGTCTGGGGGATACCGTCCGATATGTGCCTGGTAATAATAATAATAATAATAATAAGTACTCGGAATAAAATGAATATGTATCAACATTGTCATTTTCTTTTTTACTTTAATAAGGACACTACGAAAGTTGTCCATAATTACCAGAGGATCCTATTGAACATAAGTAGACAATGGGACATATCTTAATATCTATCTATCTATCTATATATATATATATATATATAATCCAACATTAATGTGATTAATGGCGAAATCACTTCGCTAACAAGACTTAATGAAACATATATATATATATATATATATATATATATATATATACATAAGCATAATGAGAAGCCACGTATACTTTCTTAATATGTATATATTGAAAAAGTTGCAAATTAAAAAAATTATAATGTTTTTTTATGAAAGTGTTTATTTATTTATATATATATTTGAGAATTTCAGATTGACCTCAATCTTTCTTCAAAATAAAGACAAATGTAAATCTGAAATAAAAAATTATTATTTTTTTTTTAATTTGCAACAATTCTCTCTCTCTCTCTCTCTATATATATATATATATATATATATATATATATATATTCGAGTAGTATAAAATCACGTCGGATATAATGATAAATTATTAATAATATTTCTCGCAAATCCAGACCGGTAGACGAATGTAAATAAATAAATATACTGTTTAATAAATAAACTGAGCGTCTACACAAATATGGATATCTACTGAAATGACGCTTAACATGCTAAAATCGGGCGGTTTAAGAAATAAAACTTCATTACTATTGTAGAAAGCATGTTTTTTAACGTTTGGATACGGAACTATCCAGATATAAAATTAATAGAGTCTATGGTATGAAGAATTTCACTTAAATTCAATATTCAGCCTTACCTGATCGGTTCTTCCTAGCTGATTAGGCGTAGAGCACGTCGGATCTAACAACGGTTTATTTCTGCCTAGTGGGTCGATGTTTCAAATCGTGCCGGAGAGCCCATATTTTTCTTTGCTAGGATTTCTCGAATTTTTGCCTGGTAGACGAAAATAAATAAATATACTGTTTAATAAATAAACGGAGCGTCTTCTCAAATATGGGTATCCACAAAGAATAACGTGTAAGTAATAAAATCTGTTGGATTATTAAATGCAAAAATCATTAATTCTTTCAAAATTGTTTTGTTTTTTTGAGCAGATATGTTTCGAGAGTCGGAAAAAAGATTTGCGTTCATAAGGTACTATAGACGTTCATAAGGCAATATAGACGTTTCTCCGCATTCTCACGTTAGACGGTGTTAATTAAGCGCTCGATTTTCTCACGTCTGTCGGTGTTAATTAGCCGTCCGATTTTCTCACGTCAGTCAGTGTTAATTAGGAGCTCAATTTTCTCACGTCTGTCGATGTTAATTAGACGATCGATTTTCTCACATCATTCGGTATTAATTAGCCTCTCGATTTTCTCACGTCTGAGGGTGTTAATTAGCTGCTCGATTTTCTCACGTTAGTCGGTGTTAATTAGCCGCTCGATTTCCTTACGATAGTCGGTGTTAATTAGCCTCTTGATTTCCTTACGATAGTCGGTGTTAATTAGCCACTCGATTTTCTTATGTCAGTCTATGTTAATTAGCCGCTCGATTTCCTCATATCAGTCGGTGTTAATTAGCCGCTCGATTTTCTCATATCAGTCGGTGTTAATTAGCCGCTCGATTTTCTGGTGACTTTTTGTCTGACACTACCAAAAAGGAAACTTTAATGATTTTGTTTTTAACACGAATTACATTAGCGTCTTTCGTAAAACAATTTTTAAGATTTTACAAGTAGACCACGTCTTCCGAGACATGGCGTCATCTAAAATTGGGGGACTTTTAAATTGAATGAATTTCCTCTTTATTTAGCAGGTCCCCTCTGATTATATTCCTGTCTTTAGAAGGCATACTAATTGGATTTGATCTCGATTTCTTTTTCACAAAACACTAGCCTTACAGACATGGCAGGTATTAGCATTATTTGATGAAAACTTGTTTACAAGTCGAATCCTACAACAGAAATATATTTGAGAGAGAGAGAGAGAGAGAGAGAGAGAGAAGGTGATCACGTGCTTCCCTGGGGTGGGGATCGCTTTCATCAAACTTTTATCAATTCCAATTTGTTCTCAAGTCTGCGTTTACGTAACATACGCTTACGCTCCCGGCAGACAAGGTTCAGACGCGAAATCTATCACGGTGAATGGCGCGAGCGGTCGGGCATTAATACTAGCATCGTCGCATGGCGATAACGTACGAGCTTCCGCTTACCTGATGGCGTTCCGTTCGCCTCCAGGTGGATTGACTTGACGATGTAAACAAATCACCTGTAAGTTGCAATCGACTCGGCTATATTTTAAATGCGACTGTCACAAAGGTTTCGGTCTTGCATCTTCCCAGCTCTCTTCAAATGGTTTCTTATATCCTGATTAATATGCGGCTGTTTGGGAAGTAAAGTGAGATTCCAGAATTAACTTTTTTTCATGAACTAGCAGCATGGCCCGGCGTTGCCCGTGCTTGATTCAAAAATCGTACGACTCATACAGCAATCGCTATCACTTGACTTAAAATATTTTTGCATTTCCTTGCCTTTAAAGGAGTGCCCTTTGCCGTGCTGATGTTGCTACATGCCTTACTTCTTGCCTATCTCACACTGCGAATTTTTTCTAAGCTCTATACTAAACATTAAATCTGTTACGAAAAAAGAACTAAACAAAATGAACACAAAACGATCAGCTTTAAAAAAGGACTCGTAACTAGAAAAACTGAATGAAAAAAGAATGTTAACAACAAATACTTTTTCACACCCAACCTAGTTCTGCGGAATCAGAATCAACGTTGAGTTTAATCAAGCGAATGAGCCAATTGGAGTAAAGTGCCATGCAGATTTAAATTTTTCCCACTTGTGACGAATGCAGCTATCGATTATTTTTGCATGCTAGCATGCTAGTTAGCATTCGTGTCAGTCAGCTGTTGTCTCTCACGCTGGTCAATAGAATCTTCCTGCCTATTCGTGGCAGCCAGCTATAGGCTCTCACTCTGACCAGTAGAAAATGGCCGCAAACTACATGAAAACTGCCGTAGAAGCATGAAATTATTTCCACTATCGATGGGAGTTGGGAAATGCAAAGTCAGTCTTGGCCTTCCCGCTAACTTGGAGTATGTTCATGTAAATTTTGGTGCAAACCCGCCGACAATTGCGGCCGTGCATTCGTTACACACACACACACACACACACACACACACACACACACACACACACACACACACACACACACACACACACACACATCCTGCCTTTTACAGATAGAGATCACACTCAGTAACCCTCTTACGTCTTAGTGGCTTTATTGCTTTGTTTGGGTTGAAATTATTAAGACACAATCAACTTATCCCCGAACCAATAAATACCTAAAGACAGGTAAATAAACAACAAATATTTACTTATACCCAATCAATCAAAATCTGAATGAATCAAATATAAATATAAATATCCAATATTTACCTATCCTCAAGTAAATGATTTTGGATTCAAACCTAAGCAACAAATATATATATATATATATATATATATATATATATATATATATATATATATATATATAAAGAAAGAACAGTAAGATATATAAGCCGGTGTTCTTATAGATATTTTTATTTTTACAAAATAGTGCTCAATGTAAATTTACAGAGCATTAATATTATAAATTAATTGATTTAAAATATGGTTTTTCCGCTACACAGTTCTAACCATGTTTCAAAAATAGAAGCTAAAAGCTCCGAATTTAATTTTGCAATTAAATTAAAAGCATTAGTTCCATTTCATTCTCAAGCGAATTTTGGAGTAACTTTAAAAAATTACTGGGTTTTGAAGACACAGCTAAAATCACGTTTCCATGGTTACAGAATATTCTACTTCAATTGGACAAGGGATGTCTAGGTATTCCTTATGTCAATATCATTGTATCAGTTATTAGCTACAATTTGGTAAGGGGTAGGGATGTATTTTTCAATGAAAACTGACATCCGTTGAATGCATGTTGTCTGGATTTTTTTTTAAATTATTGTTAACGGTAAAAAAATTCTTACGGCATTTTTTTTCTTCCATTTATAAATTTAAAGATTTTCGCGGGTGTTCAGATCATAATACTTATTATTTAACTACGATTTGAAATATTCTCATTTTTAATTTTTATTATACTATATTCTTTTTAAGAACAGTTAAATGTATTAGAATCCACTATATTATGTAGGATTATTTTAGCATCAAGTTTAAGTATGTATATGAGGTTACATTTTTTTTTATGAAAAATTTATGACTATGACGGCAAAAATGGTTACTTAATTTCACTGATTTATTAAACTTTTATTTTATATATATATAAACCTAGTAATATATTGTTTCTCATGTAAGTACAAAGGACATGGGTCATTCAAAAGCTTACATCTTATGGCATTTCATATTAATTTTATTTTACTATAGGTGTTTTTATTGGATTCTTTTAAGTGCGTGTAACACTAATTAAAAGAAGTTTAGGTTAGAATTCATTTAATTACAATTTTAAAATTACAACTTTAAAATTTTAAAATAATATCATTGTTAGTTTTAATAGACTATATTACTTTATAACAGAAGGAAAATTACTCATAGTAAGTAAAATTATTTTTACATATCAAAGTATATGTAAATTACGATTTTTAAACTTTTATAATTAAATATTATTTAAGTAATATTTATGGCACTTACTACAAAACTAGCTAAGTCATTTCTCAGATTTAGTAAACTTTATTTATTAATTAATTTATTTATTTATTTTAAATATATATAACCTAAGTAATAAAGTTTCATATGTATGTACAAAGAACATGGGTCGTACACAACCCTACATCATCTAGCTTTTGTTATAATTTCATTTTTCAGTAGGTGTTTTATTGGATTCATTCAAGTGCCTGTAGTACATTTATTATAGAGGTGTTTCGGTTAGCATACATTTTATTTAACTACAATTTTTAAAAGATGCTTAGGTTTGAATTCGTTTTAACTACAATTTTAAATTTTAAATACAAGTTTAAAATATTTTCCAATAGAATTTTTCCTTTTTTTTTTTAAATATTATTTAAGGAAAATTTTTGACAATGACGGCATATAATAGCTATTTCATTTCTCTGATGCAGTAAATTTTTATTTTTTATAAACTTAGTAATATATAGTTTCTCCTGTATGCATAGAGGACAAGGGTCGTTTAATGACCGACAAATTCTAGCTTTCCTTGTTAACTTCCATTTTACTGTAGGTGTTTTATTTGATTCTTTTAGATGCCAGAAATATTTTAAGAGAGATGTCTGATTTTTATATCTATTTATTCTAAATGAAGTTTGATGTTGGTTGAATCTTTTTTGAATTCATGGCTAGTGCAACCTATATATATATATTTATGTTATCAGGACTTTCAATCGAAGAGATATTGCATTGGTATACTAATGATTCAGTGCGATATATATATATATATATATATATATATATATATATATATATATATATATATATACAGGTATATCCACAAACCAAATAAATTCTTACAGACCAACATATAAACAAAATTATCTAGATACTAATTATAAACTGTAAATATTTAATATACACGAACCAAGTAAATACTTCCAGACTTAATTAAAATGCTAAAATTTAATATGTATGAACAAATTTGCGTCCAGTTTCTTGCAACGTTTGGCCATTTTTGGTAGATCTTCTGTTATCGCAATGTGGGATATTTAATAATAAAGATGATAGAAACAAAAAGAAATGGAATGTAAATGAAATTGACGAGATTATATACCCGAAACACATTAAAAAAAAAAATCTAAATTTAAAATTTCCAGCGTCTCTCGTTCGTGCGCATGTGCAGTCGCATCAACTTAAACCTTGTCCAATGAAGTTCTAAGAGGCGGAAAAATTTTTCCAACTTTGTTATACATCTTCCGGTCAAAACTGTTCTTGATATATATATATATATATATATATATATATATATATATATATATATATATATATATATATATCGTTATCTCATAACTGAACAAAGTAAATCATTATGGGCTTAAATGCATTTAAAAAATATAATTTCAATATTAAAGTTGGGTTGTGGGTTGTTAATTTTACGACATTTACATGTCGTAAATTTTGCAACCCCAACGAAACTCTTTATTTTTTACGTAATTTTTCTTTATTTCATTCTTTAGTTCTTCCTTCATCCTTCATTCCTTACTTCTTTCCTACCTTCCTTCCTTCCTTTCTTTCCTTCCTTTCCTCCTTTCCTTCCTTCATTCCTTCCTTTCCTTCTTTCCTTCTTTCCTACCTTACTTCCCTTTTTTCCTTCCTTTCCTTCCTTCTTTCCTTTTCTTCCTTCTTTTATTCATTTCCTTCCTTCCTTCCTTCCTTCCTTCCTTCCTTCCTTCCTTTCCTCTTTCTTCCTTTCTTTCCTCCCTTACTTCCTTCAGTCCTTCCTTTACTTCATTCTATCATTCCATTCCTCCCTTCCTTCCTTTCTTCCTCCCTTTCTTCTTTAATTCCTTCCTTTCTTCTTATTTCCTTTCCTTCCTCCATTCATTCCTTTCCTGCCTTCTTTCCTTCCTTCCTTCCTTCCTTCCTTTCCTTCCTTCCTTCCTTCCTTCCTTCCTTCAGTCCTTTCCTCCCTTTCTTCCATGAATTAAGTTTTCCTCCATTGGAGACTTCCTTCAGTCCTTCCTTTACTTCTATTCTATCATTCCATTTCCCTTCCTTTCCTTTCTTCCTCCCTTTCCTTCTTTAATTCCTTCCTTTCTTCTTATTTCCTTTCCTTCCTCCATTCATTCCCTTTCCTGCCTTCTTTCCTTCCTTCCTTCCTTCTTTTTCCTTCCTTCCTTTCTTCCTTCCTTCAGTCCTTTTCTCCCTTTCTTCCTTTTTTCCTCCCTTACTTCCTTCAGTCCTTCCTTTACTTCATTCTATCATTCCATTCCTCCTTCCTTCCTTTCTTCCTCCCTTCCTTCTGAAAATTCCTTCCTTTCTTCTTATTTCCTTTCCTTCCTCCATTCATTCCTTTCCTTCCTTCCTTCCTTCCTTCCTTCCTTCCTTCCTTCCTTCCTTTCTTTTCCTTTTCCTCTTTCTTCTTTTCTTTCCTCCCTTACTTCCTTCAGTCCTTTTTACTTCATTCTATCATTCCATTCCTCCTTCCTTCCTTTCTTCCTCCTTCCGTCTTTAATTCCTTCCTTCTTCTTATTTCCTTTCCTTCCTCCATTCATTCCTTTCCTGCTTTCTTTCCTACTTTCCTTTCCTTCCTTCCTTCCTTCCTTCCTTCCTTCCTTTCTTTTCCTCTCTTTCTTCCTTTCTTTTCCTCCCTTTTCCTTCAGTCCTTCCTTTACTTCATTCTATCATTCCATTCCTCCTTTCTTTTTTTCTTCCTCCTTCCTTCTTTAATTCCTTCCTTTCTTCTTATTTCCTTTTCCTTCCTCCATTCATTCCTTTCCTGCCTTCTTTTCCTTCCTTCCTTCCTTCCTTCCTTCCTTTCCTTCCTTCCTTCCTTCCTTCCTTCAGTCCTTTTCCCCCCTTTTCTTCCTTCTTTCCTCCTTACTTCCTTCAGTCCTTCCTTTTTCATTCTATCATTCCATTCCTCCCTTCCTTCCTTCCTTTCCTTCCTTCCTTCTTTAATTCCTTCCTTTCTTCTTATTTCCTTTCCTTCCTCCATTCATTCCTTTCCTTCCTTCCTTCCTTCCTTCCTTCCTTCCTTCCTTCCTTCAGTCCTTTCCTCCCTTTCTTCCTTTCTTTCCTCCATTACTTCCTTCAGTCCTTCCTTTACTTCATTCTATCATTCCATTCCTCCCTTCCTTCCTTTCTTCCTCCCTTTCCTTCTTTAATTCCTTCCTTTCTTCTTATTTCCTTTCCTTCCTCCATTCATTCCTTTCCTGCCTTCTTTCCTTCCTTCCTTCCTTCCTTTCCTTCCTTCCTTCCTTCCTTCCTTCCTCCTTCAGTCCTTTTCCTCCCTTTCTTCCTTTCTTTTCCTCCCTTACTTCCTTCAGTCCTTCCTTTCTTCATTCTATCATTCCATTCCTCCTTCCTTCCTTTCTTCCTCCCTTCCTTCTTTAATTCCTTCCTTTCTTCTTATTTCCTTTCCTTCCTCCATTCATTCCTTTCCTTCCTTCCTTCCTTCCTTCCTTCCTTCCTTCCTTCGTTTCCTTCCTTTCCTCTCTTTCTTCCTTTCTTTCCTCCCTTACTTCCTTCAGTCCTTCCTTTACTTCATTCTATCATTCCATTCCTCCCTTCCTTCCTTTCTTCCTCCCTTCCGTCTTTAATTCCTTCCTTTCTTCTTATTTCCTTTCCTTCCTCCATTCATTCCTTTCCTGCTTTCTTTCCTTCTTTCCTTTCCTTCCTTCCTTCCTTCCTTCCTTCCTTCCTTCAGTCCTTTCCTCCCTTTCTTCCTTTCTTTCCTCCATTACTTCCTTCAGTCCTTCCTTTACTTCATTCTATCATTCCATTCCTCCTTCCTTCCTTTTCTTCCTCCCTTCCTTCTTTAATTCCTTCCTTTCTTCTTTTTCTTTTTCCTTCCTCCATTCATTCCTTTCCTGCCTTCTTTCCTTCCTTCCTTCCTTCCTTCCTTTCCTTCCTTCCTTCCTTCCTTCCTTCCTTCCTTCCTTCCTTCCTTCAGTCCTTTCCTCCCTTTCTTCCTTTCTTTCCTCCCTTACTTCCTTCAGTCCTTCCTTTACTTCATTCTATCATTCCATTCCTCCCTTTCTTCCTTTCTTCCTCCCTTCCTTCTTTAATTCCTTCCTTTCTTCTTATTTCCTTTCCTTCCTCCATTCATTTCCTTTCCTTCTTTCCTTCCTTCCTTCCTTCCTTTTCCTTCCTTCCTTCCTTCCTTCCTTCCTTTCCTTTCCTCCCCTTTCTTCCTTTCTTTTCCTCCCTTACTTCCTTCAGTCCTTCCTTTACTTCATTCTATCATTCCATTCCTCCCTTCCTTCCTTTCTTCCTCCCTTCCTTCTTTAATTCCTTCCTTTCTTCTTATTTCCTTTCCTTCCTCCATTCATTCCTTTCCTGCCTTCTTTCCTTCCTTCCTTCCTTCCTTTCCTTCCTTCCTTCCTTCCTTCCTTCCTTCAGTCCTTTCCTCCCTTTCTTCCTTTCTTTCCTCCCTTACTTCCTTCAGTCCTTCCTTTACTTCATTCTATCATTCCATTCCTCCCTTCCTTCTTTCTTCCTTCCTTCTTCTTTAATTCCTTCCTTTCTTCTTATTTCCTTTTCCTTCCTCCATTCATTCCCTTCCTTCCTTCCTTCCTTCCTTCCTTTCCTCTCTTTCTTCCTTTCTTTCCTCCCTTACTTCCTTCAGTCCTTCCTTTACTTCATTCTATCATTCCATTCCTCCTTCCTTCTTTCTTCCTCCTTCCGTCTTTAATTCCTTCCTTTTCTTCTTATTTCCTTTCCTTCCTCCATTCATTCTTTTCCTGCCTTTCCTTCTTTCCTTTCCTTCCTTCCTTCCTTCCTTCCTTCCTTCCTTCCTTCCTTTCCTCTCTTTCTTCTTTCTTTCCTCCTTACTTCCTTCAGTCCTTCCTTTCATTCTATCATTCCATTCCTCCCTTTTTCCTTTCCTCCCCTTCCTTCTTTAATTCCTTCCTTTCTTCTTATTTCCTTTCCTTCCTCCATTTCCCCTTTCCTGCCTTCTTTCCTTCCTTCTTCCTTCCTTCCTTCCTTCCTTTCCTTCCTTCCTTCCTTCCTTCCTTCAGTCCTTTCCCCCCCTTTCTTCCTTCGATTTCCCTTACTTCCTTCAGTCCTTCCTTTACTTCATTCTATCATTTCCATTCCTCCCTTCCTTCCTTTCTTCCCCCTTCCTTCTTTAATTCCTTCCTTTCTTCTTATTTCCTTTCCTTCCTCCATTCATTCCTTTCCTTCCTTCCTTCCTTCCTTCCTTCCTTCTTTTTTCCTTCCTTCCTTCCTTCCTTCAGTCCTTTCCTCCTTTCTTCCTTTCTTTTCCTCCATTACTTCCTTCAGTCCTTCCTTTACTTCATTCTAATTCCATTCCTCCCTTCCTTCCTTTCTTCCTCCCTTTCCTTCTTTAATTCCTTCCTTTCTTCTTATTTCCTTTCCTTCCTCCATTCAGCCTTCTTTCCTTCCTTCCTTCCTTCCTTTCCTTCCTTCCTTCCTTCCTTCCTCCTTCAGAAGGACTTCCTTCAGTCCTTCCTTTACTTCATTTATCATTCCAAATTCCTTCCTTTCTTCTTCCTTTCCTTCCTCCAATTCCTTTCCTTCCTTCCTTCCTTCCTTCCTTTCCTCTTTCTTCCTTTCTTTTCCTCCTTACTTCCTTCAGTCCTTCCTTTACTTCATTCTATCATTCCATTCCTCCCTTCCTTCCTTTCTTCCTCCCTCCCTTCTTTAATTCCTTCCTTTCTGAAATTTTCCTTTCCTTCCTCCATTCATTCCTTTCCTGCCTTCTTTCCTTCCTTCCTTCCTTCCTTCCTTTCCTTCCTTCTTCCTTCCCTTCCTTCTTCCTTCCTTCCTTCCTTCCTTCAGTCCTTTCCTCCTTTCTTCCTTTCTTTTTCCTCCCTTACTTCCTTCAACTTCATTCTATCATTCCATTCCTCCTTTCTTCCTTTCTTCCTCCTTCCTTCTTTAATTCCTTCCTTTCTTCTTATTTCCTTTCCTTCCTCCATTCATTCCTTTCCTGCCTTCTTTCCTTCCTTCCTTCCTTCCTTCCTTCCTTCCTTTCCTTCCTTCCTTCCTTCCTTCCTTCCTTCAGTCCTTTCCCCCCTTTCTTCCCTTTCTTTTCCTCCTTACTTCCTTCAGTCCTTCCAAATCATTTCCATTCCTCCCTTCCTTCCTTTCTTCCTCCTTCCTTCTTTAATTCCTTCCTTTCTTCTTATTTCCTTTCCTTCCTCCATTCCTTTCCTTTCCTTCCTTCCTTCCTTCCTTCCTTCCTTCCTTCCTTCCTTCAGTCCTTTCCTCTCTTTCTTCCTTTCTTTCCTCCTTACTTCCTTCAGTCCTTCCTTTACTTCATTCTATCATTCCATTCCTCCCAAAGGATTTCCTTTCCTTCCTCCATTCATTCCCTTTCCTGCTTTCTTTTCTTTTTCTTTCCTTCCTTCCTTCCTTCCTTCCTTCCTTCCTTCCTTTCCTTCAGTCCTTTTCCTCCCTTTCTTCCTTTCTTTCCTCCCTTACTTCCTTCAGAAATTCTATCATTCCATTCCCTCCCTTCCTTCCTTTCTTCCTCCCTTCCTTCTTTAATTCCTTCCTTTCTTCTTATTTCCTTTCCTTCCTCCATTCATTCCTTTCCTGCCTTCTTTCCTTCCTTCCTTCCTTCCTTCCTTTCTTCCTTCCTTCCTTCCTTCCTTCCTTCCTTCCTTCAGTCCTTTCCTCCCTTTCTTCCTTTCTTTCCTCCCTTACTTCCTTCAGTCCTTCCTTTACTTCATTCTATCATTCCATTCCTCCCTTTCTTCCTTTCTTCCTCCCTTCCTTCAAAATTCCTTCCTTTCTTCTTATTTCCTTTCCTTCCTCCATTCATTCCTTTCCTGCCTTCTTTCCTTCCTTCCTTCCTTCCTTTCCTTCTTTCCTTCATTCCTTCCTTCCTTCCTTCCTTCCTTCAGTCCTTTCCCCCTTTCTTCCTTTCAAAAACTTCCTTCAGTCCTTCCTTTACTTCATTCTATCATTCCATTCCTCCTTCCTTCCTTTCTTCCTCCCTTCCTTCTTTAATTCCTTCCTTTCTTCTTATTTCCTTTCCTTCCTCCATTCATTCCTTCCTTCCTTCCTTCCTTCCTTCCTTCCTTCCTTCCTTCCTTCCTTAAGTCCTTTCCCTCTTTCTTCCTTTCTTTAAAGAAACTTCCTTCAGTCCTTCCTTTACTTCATTCTATCATTCCATTCCTCCTTCCTTCCTTTCTTCCTCCTTTCTTCTTTAATTCCTCCCTTCCTTCTTATTTCCTTTCCTTCCTCCATTTTCCTTTCCTTTTTTTCCTTTTTTTCCTTCCTTCCTTTTCTTTCCTTCCTTCCTTCTTCCCTTCCTTTTCCCTTTCTTCCTTTTTTTTCCTAAAACTTCCTTCAGTCCTTCTGGATCATTCTATCATTCCATTCCTCCTTCCTTCCTTTCTTCCTCCCTTCCTTCTTTAAAGAAAATTCATTCCTTTCCTGCCTTCTTTCCTTCCTTCCTTCCTTCCTTCCTTCCTTCCTTAAAAGAAAGAACTTCCTTCCATCAAAAATAGAGAAACTTCCGTCTTTTCTTTTTTCTTTCGAAAAAAAGAAACTTATTTATTTATTCTTTCTTGAAGTTTCTTTTTATTTTTATCTCGCATTGTAACTTTCCTCTCGTCATTCTTTTTATTTTTTGACCTTTTCCCAAAACCATTCATTATTTTTCTTTCTATGGATTCTGCCGCGTCAGCAATTATATTTCATGACCTTTTTTCATTCATAAAATATTCAATAGAACAACATCGATCCGACTAATCATTTTGTTCCGGCGTATCGATTTCATTAACAAGAATGCCGTGTTCTAGATTAGCCGGAATCTAATTTTTTTCTCTCTCTCTCTCTTCAAATAAGGCATCAGCATTACCCAAATAATTCTATCGAAATGTCTTTCGAAAAGGTGCTTCCAAGAAGGATCAGATATTTAAAAATAAATAAAATTTCTTTAAAACAAAAATATCGACATTCAGCGAGAAAAGATAAAACTGAAAGAAAGAAAGAAAGAAAGAAAGAAAGAAAGAAAGAAAAGGAAAAATAAATAAAGAAAGGAAAAAAGAAAGATTATTAACCATACAGAAGAAGAAAGACTAAGAAAGAAAGAAAGAAAGAAAGAAAGAAAGAAAGGAAGAAAGGAAGGAAAAAGAAAGAAAGAAAGGAAGAAAGGAAGGAAGGAAAAAGAAAGAAAGAAAGAAAAAAGGAAGAAAGGAAAGAAAGAAAGAAAAAAGAAAGAAAGGAAGGAAAAAAAAGAAAAAGAAAGAGAGAAAAGAAAGAGAGAGAAAAGAAAGAGTTAGTGTGATAGAGCACTTTTGGTAGGGGATCCAGAAGGAAAATGAATAAAAGATTGAATGAAAAATTGATTAAGATTTCGTAAGATCAAAAATGATGTATGAATTACTGGTTGAAAATCAAAAAAAGAAGGAAAGAAAGAATTAATAAAATGATTAAAGCATAGAAAATAAAACAAAAGTAAGAAAGAAAGAAAGAATCAATGAAAGAAAAGAAGTAAAAGAAAAAAGATTATTAAAAGATACAGAAAAAAAAACAAAAGTAAGTGGAAAAGAAAGACAGAAAGAAAGAAGGACAGAAAGAAAGAAAGAAAGAAAGAAAGAAACAAACAAACAAACAAACAAATAAAGAAAGGAAGAAAGAAAAAGTGATACAGGATACAGAAGAAAAACATAAGTACGATAAAAAGAAAGCGTGAATGAAAGAAAAAAGAAAGAAAGAATATTAAAAATAGAGAAATAAATAAAGAAAGAAAGAAAGAAAGAAAGAAAGACAGAAAGAAAGAAAAAAATAATACAGGATACATATGAAAACCATAAGTAAGATAGAAAGAAAGATTGAATTAAAGAAAAAAGAAAGAAAGACTATTAAAAATACAAAAGGAAAACAAAAGAAAGAAAAAAGAAAGAAAGAGTGAATAAATGTATTTTAAAAACTGAATATAAATAAAGATGTGCAAAAAATGCAAAAAGGAAATTAAAAAGAAAGAAAGAAAAAGAAAGAAAGAAAGAAAGAAGAAAATGGAAACAAAGAAAAAAACATAAGAAAGAAAGAAAGAAAGAAAGAATGAAATGAAAGAAAAAAGAAAGAAAGAATGAAAGAAAGACTATTAAAATACAGAAAGAAAACAAAAGAAAAAAAAAAAAGAAAGAAAGAAAGAAAGAAAGTAAGAATGAAAGAAAAAAGAAAGAAAGAATGAAAGAAAGACTATTAAAATACAGAAAGAAAACAAAAGAAAGAAAAAAGAAAGAAAGAAAGAAAGAAAGAAAGAAAATGGATACAGAAGAAAAACATAAGTAAGAAAGAAAGTAAGAATGAAAGAAAAAAGAAAGAAAGAATGAAAGAAAGACTATTAAAATACAGAAAGAAAACAAAAGAAAGAAAAAAGAAAGAAAGAAAGAAAGAAAGTAAGAATGAAAGAAAAAAGAAAGAAAGAATGAAAGAAAGACTATTAAAATAGAAAGAAAGAAAAAAAAAAGAAAAAAAAAAAAATAAAGAAAGAAAGAAAGAAAGTAAGAATGAAAGAAAAAAGAAAGAAAGAATGAAAGAAAGACTATTAAAATACAGAAAGAAAACAAAAGAAAGAAAAAAGAAAGAAAGAAAGAAAGAAAGAAAGAAAATGGATACAGAAGAAAAACATAAGTAAGAAAGAAAGTAAGAATGAAAGAAAAAAGAAAGAAAGAATGAAAGAAAGACTATTAAAATACAGAAAAAACAAAAGAAAAGAAAAAAAAGAAAGAAAAGAAAGAAAGAAAAGAATGAAAGAAAAAAAGAAAGAAAGAATGAAAGAAAGACTATTAAAATACAGAAAGAAAACAAAAAGAAAGAAAAAAAAAAAAAGAAAGAAAGAAAGAAAGAAAGTAAAATGAAAAAAAAAGAAAAGAAAGAATGAAAAAGAAAGACTATTAAAAATACAGAAAGAAAAAAAAAAAGAAAGAAAAAAGAAAAGAAAAAGAAAGAAAAGAAAGAAAGAAAATGGATACAGAAGAAAAAAAACATAGAAAAAAGAAAAAGAAAAAAAGAAAGAAAAAGAATGAAAAAAAAAAAGAAAAAAGAAAGAAATTAAAAAAGAAAAATTAAAATACAAAAAGAAAAAAAAAAAAAAAAAAAAAAAGAAAGAAAAAAGAAGAAAATAAGAAAAAAAAAAGAAAAAAAAAAAAAGAAAGAAAAAAGAAAGAAAGAAAAGAATGAAAGAAAAAAAAAGAAAGAATGAAAGAAAGACTATTAAAATACAGAAAGAAAACAAATGAAAAAAAAAGAAAAAAAAAAAGAAAAAAAAAGAAAGAAAATGGATACAGAAGAAAAACATAAGAAAGACTATTAAAAAAAGAAAGTAAGAATGAAAAAAAAAAAAGAAAAAGAAAGAATGAAAGAAAGACTATTAAAATACAGAAAGAAAACAAAAGAAGAAAAAAGAAAGAAAGAAAAGAAAGAAAGAAAGAATGAAAAAAAGAAAGAAAAGAATGAAAGAAAGACTATTAAAATACAGAAAAGAAAAAAAGAAAGAAAAAAAAAAAAGAAAGAAAGAAAGAAAGAAAATGGATAGAAAAAAAAAACATAAGTAAGAAAGAAAGTAAGAATGAAAGAAAAAGAAAGAAAGAATGAAAGAAAGACTAAATTAAAATACAGAAAGAAAAACAAAAGAAAGAAGAAAAAAAAGAAAGAAAGAAAGAAAGAAAATGGATACAGAAGAAAAACATAAGTAAGAAAGAAAGTAAGAATGAAAGAAAAAAGAAAGAAAGAATGAAAGAAAGACTATTAAAATACAGAAAGAAAACAAAAGAAAGAAAAAAAAAAGAAAAAAAAGAAAAGAAAGAAAGAAAATGGATACAGAAGAAAAACATAAGTAAGAAAGAAAGTAAGAATGAAAAAAAAAAAAAAAGAATGAAAGAAAGACTATTAAAATACAGAAAAGAAAACAAAAAAAAAAAAAAAGAAAGAAAAGAAAGAAAGAAAAGAAAATGGATACAGAAGAAAAACATAAGTAAGAAAAAAAAAGTAAGAATGAAAGAAAAAAAAAAGAAAGAATGAAAGAAAGACTATTAAAATACAGAAAAGAAAAACAAAAAAAGAAAAAGAAAAAAGAATTAAAAAAGAAAGAAAAAAGAAAGAAAAAAAATGGAAAAAGAAGAAAAAAACATAAGTAAGAAAGAAAAAAAGAATGAAAAAGAAAAAGAAAAAAAGAATGAAAAAAGAAAGACTAATTAAAAATACAGAAAGAAAACAAAAAAAAGAAAAAAAGAAAGAAAGAAAAAAAAAGAAAAGAAAGAAAAAAAAAAATAATAAAAGATACAGAAAAAAAAATAAAAAGAAAGAAAGAAAAGAAATAAAAAAAAGAAAAAATATTAAAGGATGAAAAAAAGTAAAAAGAAAATACAAGAAAAATAAAAAAATTAAAAAAAAAGAAAGAAAGAAAAAAAAAAAAAAGAAAAAAGAAAAAAGAAAAAAGAATATTACGAGATACAAAAAAAAAACAAGGAAGGAATGAAAGAAAAAATAAACAATATTAAATGACACAAGAAATAACAAAAGTAAGACATGAAATGATAAAAAAAAAGAATGAAAGAAAGAATGAAAAAGATTGAGAAAGATTATTAAAGTATATATTTGAAAAACAAAAGAAAGAAAAAAAAAAAAGAAAGAAGGAAAGAAAGAAAGAACTTTGAAACGTTTTTTCCTGAAAAATCGTTTGAAGATAAAAATTTAATAAATTTCACCGCCAGTGGCATTGACCACTCAGTCGAGGAAGACCGAATGTTAAGATTGTCGTAACCATTTTAGATGAGGAGAACAGGTACTACATTGATATTTGCTCGTTCACCACGGTGGCAGAATATGGCACAAGGCCGCTTTAACGTGAGAATTAGCCAATTTCAAAAATTGCGCATCCCCAGCAATCAGCGCTGCGCTGGCATCGATATTCTAGCGACCATCCTTTTTTTTTTTTTTTTTTTTTGGCCCAGCGGTGGAGGTGCTGCTGCAGGAGTAGAATTCCTGGGGTGAGCCATCCGTCATCTTTTCGTTACGCTCTGTCCGAAGACAGAATCACAATTGGGACGATCGTTTGAAGGCCCAGATTTTTAAAAATAAATATTCTTTTCTTCCCTACGCACAAAATGTCGACATTCATGGATTCATTGTAGTTATTCCGCGTCCTGTCTGCTGAGAAATTTAACCCGAGAAGTCGTAAAGAGTCATATCCTGCAGGTTAGCATCATGCTGATTTCTGGCATTGTACTCTCCAGCTTCCCTCAGAATATTGAAAATACAGAAGAAAAAGAAAATTAACACAGAAAGAAAGAAAGAATTAAAGAAATATAAAAGGAAGAAAGAAAGAAAAAATATTACAGGACACAGAAGAAAATAAAAGTAAGAAGAAAGGATGTAGTTTGTCCGTTCGAACGCAGAATCTGCACTTGGTATTTACTTGCCACCCGACAAACACACCGTGACGAGAAATGGCACAAGGCCGGGATAAAGTGGGGGATATAAACACGGGGACATGAGCCAAGGCAAAAAAAAAAAAAAAACGGGATTTGACTTAGCTTTGACGGATATGTCCGAACGTGACGTGACGTGATTTCGAGTTTGTCACATCAACTGCGCTGCGATCCTAAGACTACTCTCTTTCATGGCACTGGCGATGGGTTACTTGATATCATTGCGCAGGTGTCAGCACTGATTGGAAGAACTCATTTGCTGAGGAAAGTGTTGTGTCTGTAAATTGCAGGTAGGAGATGACCTTATTAATTCTTGATTAATTTTTCTTTCAATCTTTTATTCATTTTCCTTCTGGATCACTTACCAAACGGCTCTATCACACGAACTCTCTCCCTCTCTCTCTTTATTTCTTCTTTTTTTTTCTTTCTTTTTTCTTTCTTTCTCAGTTTTTCTTCTTCTGTATGGTTAATAATCTTTCTTTTTTCCTTCCTTTCTTTGTTTGTTTCTTTTTTCTTTCCTTCCTTTCTTTCTTTCTTTCTTTCTCAGTTTTTCTTTTCTTTCTTTTCCTTTCTTTTTTCCTTTCTTTCTTTCTTTCTTTCTTCTGTATCCTTTCTTTCTTTCTTTCTCAGTTTTTATTTTCTTTGTTTTCCTTTCTTTTTTCCTTTCTTTTTTTCTTTCTTTCTTTCTTTCTTTCTTTCTTTCTTTCTTTCTTTCTTTCTTTCCCTTTTTTCTTTCTTTCTTTCTTTTTTTTTTCTTTTCTTTTTTCTTTCTTTCTTTTTTCTTTTTTCTTCTTTTCTTTTCTTTTTTTTCTTTCTCTTTTCTTTCTTTTTCAGTTTTCTTTTCTTTTTTTTTCCTTTCTTTTTCTTTTTCCTTTCTTTTTTTTTTCTTTCTCAGTTTTTCTTTTCTTTCTTTTCCTTTCTTTTTTCCTTTCTTTCTTTCTTTTTTCTTCTTTTTCCTTTTCTTTCTTTCTTTTTTTCTTTCTTTCTCAGTTTTTCTTTATCAGTATTGCTTATCACCTCTCTTTTTTCCTTTCTTTCTTTCTTTCTTCTTTTTCCTTTTCTTTCTTTCTCAGTTTTTCTTTCTTTTTCTTTCTTTTTCCTTTCTTTCTTTCTTCTTTTCCTTTTCTTTCTTTCTTTCTCAGTTTTTCTTTCTTTTTCTTTCTTTTTCCTTTCTTTCTTTCTTTCTTTCTTTTTCCTTTTCTTTCTTTCTTTCTCAGTTTTTCTTTTCTTTCTTTTCCTTTTTTTCTTTCTTTCTTTCATTTTTTCTTCTTTTTCCTTTTCTTTCTTTCTTTTATTCTTTCTTTCTCAGTTTTTCTTCTTCAGTATTGCTAATCTCCTTTCTTTTTTCCTTTCTTTCTTTCTTTGTTTCTCTTTCCTTTCCCTTCTTTCTGTCTTTCTTTCTTAGCTTTTCTTTTCTTTCTTTTCTTTCTTTTTCCTTTCTTTATTCCTTCCTTTCTTTCTTTCTTTCTTCTTTTTCCTTTCCTTTCTTTCTTTCTTTCTTTCTTTCTTTCTTTCTTCCTTTTCCTTTTTTTCTGTCTTTCTTTCTTTCTTTCTTTCTTTCATTCATTCTTTCTTTCTTTCAGTTTTATCTTTTCTCGGTGAATGTCAACATTTTGTTTGTAAGGAACAAATGGATATTTATCTTGAAAAATGTGATCCTTCTTGGAAGCACCTTTTCGAAAGACATTTCGATAGAATTATTTGAGTAATGTTGATGCCTCATTTGAAGAGAGAAAAAAAATTAGATTCCGGCTAATCTAGAACACGACATTCTTGTTAATGAACATCATTAATCGGTCGAAACCTTTAAGATTCCGAGAGGATATCACATGAAATAATAATTCTAGAATTCGTTCGATGTCTACATGAAACAAGCTTCAGAATAAGGATTTGTAAAGTGTGAAAATTCTTTTGATACGCCGTAACAGATTCTACGTGAAAATATCTTTTCTTGTGTTCTGCTTCCAATGTAACCGAATTTCAACGGCTCTCAATTTCTGACATTGGCTGATCGATTCCATTTTTATTGACCATAGCCTAAAAGTAAATGCCGGTTGGTGCTTTGTGTTGTTTCGTTATTGTTCGTATTAGAAGTGGGGAGTGGGGGGTGGATGCATGTGTCGTTCTATAACTTTATTCGTATGTATGATATACGCTAGGCTGAGTGTCTGTGTGAATGCCCTGTGGGTTGAATCGTCCGCAACAACTTATTCGTTAAGAGATTGCCAATGGCCCGAAACATCGTTTAGGTGGGCATTAATGATGCGAAAAGACACTTTCTCTCTTAAAACAAAAAAAAAACGAACTCACAACAACACAGACACACACACACACACACACACACACACACACACACACATATATATATATATATATATATATATATATATATGTATATATATATATATATATATATATATATATATATATGAAATGGTGCAGTATAAATAATATTATAACGAAGTAGTCATAAAAAGAATTAATCAGTAAAGATAATGTAATTAATGGCGAAATCACTTCGCTAACAGATTTTATAAAGCATTAACTTACTCACCACTCGTTGCATGACGTGATCCTTACGTTTAAAATTGTAAGATGGATTAGATGTTCCGTAGATGCTAGTACTTCAAAAAATCAACATATTTTCATCATCAGACATTAACATTTTTTTCCTTTCAGGTAACTTCCAAGACGAAAATAAATATATCGCAGTCCGAAAAGTGTTTTTTTTAAGAGTGTGTTATTTATTAACGGTTGCATTAGAAAGTTAAAGAAGGTGCAGATCATCTTGAATAAATTGAAAATGATTTTGGAATAATAATAATAATAATATATATATATATAATATATATATATATATATATATATATATATATATATATATATATATATATATATATAAGAAATATGTTGTAGTGGTTCCAACGAGAGAAAAGTATGTATATTAAAAAGAAGAGAAGAGAGGTGCCACAAACGTTTTTGATTGTAATTTGGATTTATTTAGAAAAAATATTATGCTTTGTTTTACATAATTTTACGACACGTGTTTCTCGTCTCGCGACCGTCTTCAGGTAAAAAGTGGAGATTACCACATATTAAAAATAATTAATTTTTTCCTTATGTTCAATGTTAAATATTCTCGATATGAGACATTCTCTGTTTGTGTGTTGGTAATCCGAATTTCTTTCTTGAATATATATATATATATATATATATATATATATATATATATATATATATATATATATATATATATATATATAGGTAACTATACTCGTCTCAGAAAACCTTCGACTTTTGATTTGCCAATAATCAAATCAATCACGAAGGAAAAAAAGGTTCTTAAAAAAGAAAGAGCCAGAAACATGAAAGCCTGTCGAAAAAATCGCACAGATACAGGTTTA